CAAAGCACATCCAAATAGAAATACTGACAAAAGTCCAAGTACTGGACATACATGTTCCTAGTAGGCTTATACAGTCACTCCACGAAACAGGTTGCATTAGGCTAAGCAGAATGCTATGGTTTAGGGTGGTTTTTTTTTCCCCACACACTGAAGAATGTGAATGAATTGCTACCAGATATTGTATCTATTAACAGAGAATGAAGATGCACAAGATTTCAGTTGTGCTAGAGCATCTCATTTATAACATACCTCAGCTTTGTATTGAAAAAATAAATGAGTAGATTAAAAAGTCAAGAAGTATAGTCAATATACACGCTGGAAACCTCCTTAACTATGGTAGTTTACCCGAAAAGTAGTAAAAGAAAAATGTGCCTAACATCTTGTGTGTCCTGGTTTAGGCTAAACCAGAACTAATTCTGTTTTAGTGCTTTAACTTTTCAGTTAAGTCTCCTCTAACTAACGGCACTTTCTGAAACAGCAGCATGTTTTTCCAGACAGTGACTTCTCCTAGCAGTGATAAAGCCTGGTGTTTACAGTTCATACCAAGGAATGGTGTGCAGAGAGGCCCTTGCTTATACTTGTTCTTACAGTGACCAAGGTCACTGCTAAATCTTGTACTCCGTGTTGGGGTGCCGGGAGTGAAAAGAGTCACAAGCATGAAAAAGTTCGCACCTGCAGGGAGGAGAAAACCGGACAGGTGACGCAAAACTGACCAACAGAGTATTCCATCCCATAGACGTCATATTGAGTATAAAGCTGAGAGATCACGAGGGTCTCTCTCTCTTCTTCGATGGCCAACACCTGAGGAGGACTCTGTCTGTTCTGTCATCGATCCCGATCCATGCATCCCCGAATCCCGTGCCTGAGTCCAGCTCCTGCATCCCGTCCCTGTCTGCTGCCGAGTCCAGCCTGGGACTGCCCCAGTGCCAGCCCTGCAACGTGGTCATGACATATCATCATCAGGGTGGGGGGAATTGGGTTCGGTATTTTTTTGTATCTATTTGTATTTATTTGTACATATCGTATATATTTCATTATTTCTTTATTATCTTTTCTTTTATTGTTATTGTTTCATTAAAGCTGTTTTAGTTTTCTTTTCCAAACTGAAAAGTCTCTTTTCCTTGTTCTCTCTTCTTTTCCCTCTTGGGAGGAGAGAGGGGTTAATAGAGAGCATCTGTCATTTGTTAGTGGCCGGCGCAGCCTCAAACCGTGACATTGTGTTTCCTGAGTTTCCCTGTTTACAGAACAAATTAACAGACTTAACAGGCATCACAACAGTCTGAGAATTTCTTATGTGGCTGACTGACAAAATCTGACACAGAAACAACTGATATGCCAGAAAAAATTTATGCACATATATGGCAGCTGTCTTCACAAATTAGGAACTTCTATTCAAAATGGGTACTTGGTGACACTGTACAGTTTTGTGTGATAACCTACATTCACTTTCTACTGCTTCTGGGTAGCAACTACAGTCGTGCTATACGATCCATCTCATTGAGAATTCTCCCCTTAAATTAGCTTATCAAGTAATAATTAGTGTCTATTTAAAAAAATTTTAAAAAAACAAACACACACACAAAAAAATCAAAACACACTCTTGAACTGTTTTCCCAAGCAAGCAAACAACCAAATAACCAAATAAACTAAAAGCTTCAAGATCCCTATTTTTTGCACCTGTCATAAAGAAAACGGATAGAAAGGGGACAAGGAGACTGATTACTGAAGATGTAATTCAGTCTCAGCGTTCTGATGATCTCATAAACCTTTATGTATGTGTCAAAAATTCTGGACTGAATTACAGGCATGTTATCAATCTCTCTGAATCCACTTTTGTATATGTTTTCAGTGTCTCTCTGGCCACTCTATGCACAAAATCAAGGTAAAATTAGACTTTAATAATTCCTACTGGGCTGAAGTTTGCCTTTATTTCTTTTGAGTAAGCTCTACACTGCAGGATACTGTTGCCGGTCTCATTCATTTCTTTACGTTTTCCAGAAGATACTTCGAAGGATTTTAAAGTCAAATAAAAATGGAACTACCTAAAAAATGATAAACAGGAAACATTTTTCTCAACTCTCTAACTTACTTTGTGTATCAGTTGCCAAGTTTTCTCTTTTTTTCCTAATGTTGTAAAGGGAACCCTTTCACCTACCAAAACAGAGCTTCATGTGCTTGTTCATTTACACTCCCCAGTTCCCAGTACTCACACCACAGGAGGCAATGATGACCAACCCTTATGAGCATTTCACTGGATTAATAAATGTAAGCAACAATTGTATTGGGCAATAATTGGTCTTATCTGTCTAACTAGGGGTCATAAATACTTGTGTTGGGTGTCCATGTCAAGGTGCTGGCAGCATGGGGGCTGCAGGTTGTCCTCTGTGGGAAGAGACACGGGGCTACCCCATGCTAGACATAGACAGTTCTAGCTGGCTCCAGTGGACTCAGCACAAGACACAGCCAAGCTCCTCAGCCAAGTGTGTGTTGTCACTCAAAAAATGTATTTAAGAAAGGAAAAAAACGCCAGAGAAAGGAGGAGAGAATGAAAACAGTGAGAAAGAGCAGAGGTAACTCCAAGGTCAGAGCAGGAGGAGCAGGAGATGTTCCATGGTGGAGTAGATCTCCACATGACAGCTCGTGGAAGGCCTATACTGCTGCGGATGGATATTCCTGAAGAAACAGCAGCCCATGGAGACCCCACACTGGAGGAGAAGAAAAGTGTGAGGAGGAAGAAGAAGCAGCTAGAAACCACTGTATACAGATTATAACTCACCCAACCTCCCTGCACTGCTCAGGGCTGGGAGAGGAATCTAGAGTGAAGGAGTGACTTCGATCTTGGGAGAAGGAGGAGGAAAGATGCTGTTTTAACATCCAAGTACTGTCTGTTTTGCCCACAATAGTAAATGGTAAACAAACTACCTATCTTTTATCTCAACTCATGAGTTTTCTTATCCTGTTTTCTCCTGGTGGCATGCTGAGGAGGAGGAGGGAGTGAGCAGCTGGGTGAGCATTTAGCTATTAACCAAGGTTAGCCCACTACAACACTTCACAGTGTCCTTCTGTTTTCCCTTTTTACACTATTCAGACTAATTCAGTATTTTAATTCATTACATAGTTATCTGCCATTGACTACCACTTTTTGCCCATCTGAGAATCAAACATCAGACATCTATTACATTAGCAAGGATGCTGGTGCAATTGCTCTGAATATCATCAGCCATATTGAGTACACTGAAAGCCGAACACTTTGCATCGTTTTAAATCGTTTGACAAAAGTGTTCCTTTAACAGTATGTTCAGCTTCAAAACCTGCCCTTGAAATGCTGATTCTGGGAAACTAATTTTATAAACTAAATCAGAAGAGTTTGTGTAGCCTACCTCGCAGGTCACTGCAAGTATAAAGTAAGTGCTGACCTCCAGAGAAACAAGGAAACAAAATAGGCAATGCCAATATTTTTGTCCTTGACCTTTTAGACCATGCTGACATGAAGTTTCTTCCAGTTTTTCCTGTTATATAAAGTCATTTGCTAGCTCTAAACTTTTTCAATAGTTTAGAACCATTACACAGTAGCCTATACTCAGTCTTAGTAGCTTTCAAGCCCATTGAACAGGAGACTACCAGAAATGAACAATGTTTTTGAGCTTTGCAAGAGAAACAGCAGTCTCTTAGGACTCAGTCCTAAGAGACTTGAGTCACGTGCATAGTTATGTTTACATGCAAAGGCTACCCATAATGTATAGACATGGGTAAGCCTTTGACTACAAGGCCTTTAGAACCAACTGGGAAAATACTCATTGATTTTACCATACCAACAACTGGGGCTAAATTCACCGTTCTAGTCCTCAGGTTTGCATATACTCACTTTTCCTAGATGCTTATATTTAATTCGTTTGCCTGTTCAGTATATATGTTTTTCCAGTTCAATCATGGTTCTTTTTTACCAGCGAAGTTTTATCTGGTTTGTCCCCTGTCTTTGCTATCTGAAGGAGGAGGAGAGGAAGAAGATACAAGACCTGCACTGTTTGTGCTGTTGCCAGCATTTCTATGGAGTATCAATGTGAAGTTGATGTTCCCCTTTGTTTTCTGTTTCCTTCACATAATTTTTTAACAATTCTTTTCAGATAAACTACCTTACAGTGAAAAGTCAGAGGAGAAAGTTGATTACTGTTTGTATTTCCTCAGAACAGAACATAAGCATGGGCAAGACAGATCTCACATAAGTTTAATCCATTTCAACACTGCCTGTAAATTGCCAGTAACAGATTTTTAGAGAAAAAGTAAGAATCAGTAAAGAAGAGCCTGACACGTCTCCTTAAAGCTCCCCCCACTCATCCTCCAGGAATCAGGATATTAAGAACCTGAGAAATACAGATGACATCTGAAACTGTGGTTAGGTACCGTACAATGGTTTAATTTCTCCATGAACAAAAAGTCTCAAAGCAGCTATGGCAGAGAGCAGTTATGCATCCAACACAAGAAACAACGTTGGTGCATGCCTGGGAGTCCCTCTCTCAGTCTCTATTATATATTCATACCATGCCTCACATGTAATATCCCTTTCAGACATATATTTACGCTCACAGCAGCATGCAGTGTTGTTTATAGAACTCTCTATACTCTTTTTAAGGGAAAACAGACTCTGGGAACAAATGAAGGTTAGTGTGTGAATTTGACTGTCAAGATGCACTTTACCTTCACAGAAAACAGCCATTTGCGACCCTCTCCTTATCACCACTGGCCAAATCCCCTTTGGGATCATGTCCTCCTTCATACATCAGAATAAATACAAGCAAAATTTAGTCACTTGAAAACCAAAACAAAGAAGCTTGGTCCCTTTTAACTGCTGCTAAGGCATTTTCTGTGATATTACTACTAAAACACTATTGCTCAAAGCTGTAATGAATGTGATTTAATCTGTTAAGAAAAGATTTTAAGACTGTGATAAAATAACTTATAAGCCAAAAAAAAAAAAGAAGAAACATAGTTTGTTAACTTACTTCAAATGGGAGCTCTGTTATTTCCATATTTCCAGACAAATCCAGTTTTTCCAGATTCTCACAATCACCCAATTCTGGAGGGACTGACTTCAAATTATTGAAACTTACATTGAGTACTTTGAGGTTTTTTAAGCAGCCTGTGAGGGAAAGATACTGAAAATCAGTGCATTAAAAAAAAAAAAAATAAGGAAGAAGGTAAAAATAAAAGGCATGCTCAGTTTAGCAAAGAAAAAAAAAGTGATGATGAGTAAGAGACTAATAAATATTTTCTGCAGTGGTAACTGACATTGCCGGGGTGCGATACTGCTGTGTTGCACCCATATGGGCTTTCCTTAATCAACAATACTTTTGGCAAGAATTCGAAAGGAGGCAGCAAAGACTCACAAAGATCTTGATTCTATCAGAGATGAAATACCTCTTGACTTCAGTTGAAACTAGAAAAGTTGGCTTTTGTTTTGGCCACTTCAGAAAACTTGCCTGCTAATTGAAAAGCATCTCAATATTTTTAATAGAATCTGCTCATTGGGAACACTGACTCTTACTAAACTTACCTCATCAAGAATTCTGTCTTTGGTATCCAGCATTGCATACTTTTGATTATAAAAGATAATGGATGGGTGCATTTGTTTCATTATTTTCTTTATTGCAATTTATCATCCTTGCTGGCTTAATTTTAAGGCCCTTATAATATTCTAGGCTACATTTAGTCACATTGTACTTTCTGTTTCTTTGATTTACAGCACTACATAATCTTCAGTAAAAATAGGTTTAGAAACATTATTAAAATGTAAACTGTATTATAGTGAAAAAATGTAAATTATACTGTGACATAGTCAAAGGGAAAGGAAGTAAGGAATTTGAATGTATCAAATAGCTGATGTGTTAGCAAAGGGATTTTTGAATACATAGATAACACAATGAAAACATTTTACGGACAGCTGTGGTGTTGCACACGGACAATCGTAGAATTGCATAATCATAGAATGGTTTCAGTTGGAAGGGATCTTCAAAGATCATCTAGTCCAAAGCCCTGTCCAACTTGACTTTGAACACTTCCCATGATGAGGCATCCCCAACTTCTCTAGGAAACCTGTTCCAGGGTCTCCCCACTTTCGTCACAAAAAATTTCTTCCTTATGTCCAACCCAAATCTACCCTCTTTCAGTTTAAAACCTTTGTCCCTTCTCCTGTCACTACAGGCCCTGGTTAAAAGTCTTTCTCCATCTTTCTCATATGCCTGCTTTATATATTGAAAAGCTGCAATAAGGTCTCCTCAGAGTCTTCTCTTCTCCAGGCTGAGACCCCAGCTCTCTCACAGGGGGTCTGTGTTACACAACAGGGGATGTGTTACAGCCCTCTGACCATTTTCTCTCACCTCCTCTGGACCCACTCCAACAGGGCCACATCTTTCCTGTACTGAGGACTGCAGAGCTGGACACAGCACTGCAGGTGGGGTCTCACCAGAGCAGAGTAGAGGGGGAGCATCACCTCCCTTGACCTGCTGTCTGCACTTTTTTTGATGCAGCCGAGGACGCAATTGGCTTTCTGGTCTGCAAGCGCACATTGCTGGCTCATAATCAGTTTTTCATCCACCAGTATCCCCAAGTCGTTCTCCACAGGGCTGGTTTCAATCCCTTCATCACCCATCCTGTATTGATATTGCAAATTGCCCCAACGCAGGTGCAGGAAATTGCATTTGGCGATATGGAACCTCATGAGGTTCACACGGGCCCATTCCTCAAGCCTGTCAAGGTCTCCCTAGATGGCAACTCTTCCCTTCAAGCATATCAACTGTACCACTCAGCTTGGTATCATCTGCAATATTCCACTCTAATCAGTGATATGCCTGTGACATTCCCCTCTAACCAGTGACAGAGCACAGCATCCACAAGGAAAAGCAGCTGTAAGAAACTTAAATGCAATTCAGCAGCTGGAAATCAGGACAGAACAGCATCTTGTGTTGCAGGTTCTCAAAGCAAACTATATATTGGCAAACCAAGACAAGACATACACAAGATTCACAATTTTATATTATATCAGTCTTCTATTTATAATCAAATTTTAAAAAAGAATCTGGTCTTTCTTTCATATTATTTGGATTACACTGGACAATCTCTCTACAGTATTTCTCAGGTGCTCAAAATAATGTCATAATAGTGAGTTTATTCTTAAGGCACTTACACTTAGTTAAACTCTCTCCAAAGCAAAAGTTGTTTTAGAGCTGCTTACCTTTTGCCATGTGTGGAAAACCTTATGAGACCAGATGGTGCGTCCACAGAAAAAGACAGAGAAGAAACATAGGGAATTGAAAGCCCCACAGTTTTTCCATGAGAAATTACTGCTGTCAGAGGCAGAGGCATGCAGTCTGATGACCAATACTAGCAGCCACCAAATCACACAGCAGTTTACATACACCCCAGAGTCTCCCTTGGACACAACATTGGCTTCAAATGATGGCTGAACAGCCCAAAACTTTCTCACACGTGGCAGACAAGTCGTATACAGTAATAACTCCATTATATTAATCTCTACAGGTTGCAACAAAGAAAAATATAGAAGCTTCCACTCTGCTTCCTCCCAGTTTTAGCTCTGCCAGAAATAGGAACTGAGGTGGTATTTCAAAATTCAGCCGTCATTTTAAGAAGGTAATTGTGTCTTTCCTATTTGCTGTGAAGTACTTTTTTAGTTAAAATAGCAGAAGTAAAATTTTCTGTAAGACTACAACAGGCATTGTTTTGGCAGTACATTACTGTCCCACAATGGTCATTGAGGCTGGTACAAGACAGTAATAGAAGCATCCTAATGGTGTAAATGTGTGAACTACCTTATTTCTGGATTTTTAAGCACACAAAAGTAATAAAGTTTTAGCCTACTCACGATGAAGCCTCACCAGGTTTAGTATCATGGTGTAGGCAAATGAAGGTATTACATCGCATGCTAAGTGACATAAACATCAACTTACCACCTCATTGCAACAAAATAATCACTGGAGCAGAAATGCCTTAAAATAAAATAAAGAATCAGAGACTTGCAAATTAATTCCTCCTCCAATTAATCTCTCAGTGAAGGAGCACAAATCCCATTGGAATGAAAAAGGAACTGCTTACTCTTTAGCACTGGAATGTTTTGTCTTTTCTTTTAGCAATGGGATATTGTACTAGGTCTATCTGGAATAGAGTTAATTTTCTTCATAGCAGCCTGTATGGTGCTATGTTTTGGATTTGTGATCAAACAGTAGTGATAACACACCAATGTTTTTGCTATTGCTGAACAGCACTTAGGCAGCGTGAAGTTCTTCTCTTGTTTCTCACTCTGCTGCCCCAGTGAGTCAGCTAGAGGTGGGCAATAAGCTGGGAGGGGACAGGGACAAGATACTGGATCCAAAATGACCAAAGGAATATATCATAGCATATAACATCATGTTCAGCAGTAGAAGCTGGGGGCAGGGAGGAATGGGCAGGAGTTTTCACAGGTGGTTATTGCTCAGGGACTGGTTGGTCATTGGTCAGCTGGTGGTTAGTGATTGCTTTTGTGTTACTTGTTTGTTTGTTTGCTTACTTTTTTTTCTTCACTTATTAAACTGGCTTCATCCTGACACATAAGATTTCTCACTTTTGCCCTTCTAATTCTTTCCCCATCCTGCTCTGGGAGACTGAACGCACTGCAGCAGGAGGGGCTGAGCAAGGTGTGTGAGGCTCGACTGCCTATGAGAGTAAACACACAACAGATGTATTTGCTAACTTTTCAGCTGCTGAAATTTCTACCTCTCTGTTCCGTTATTAGCTGGAGAACTAATGTAGACAAAGCATCTAGTGTCACCAACATCCTAGTCATCCTCTTGTCTGGTTCTGCTCAGAGGAGGCACCTCCAATATGTAACTAGGAGACACAGAACAGAATGGCTTACAAAAAAAATTTCACAAAAATTAACAGCCTTTCTGGACAGAGTGATGGAGACAAGCACAGCTTCCCTTTCTGACTTTCTTGCCTTCTGAAACGATGGGGTTTCAATCTTTTTTCTCCTTTCACAGTTTCTAACATGTATGTCAATGCTAACAATCTGGTTTGTCCTACCCTGCAGGTAAGAGAAAGCAAGTAAGTAGAAGATGCATCACATTTTTTCTTGCTGTATATAATCTCTCTCTAATCTGACAGAAGCACACAACAGTATCTACAGTCAATTGCCAGTAATTGCTGTAGCTAAGACTATGAAAATTACTGGAAAAAGCCATGAGTCTTACAACTGAATTTAATTCTCATAACAAACGCAGTACAACATAGGTGAGTCGGATACAGTTCACCGAGAACTGCCTGGGGGAGCAATCTCTTGCAATTCAGTGTAATGGCTGTTTTTTCACCTCAGGGCTCTCCAGTGGATTAAGTTATGCGACCTGACAGCTGAACAGTAGTCAAGCATTAACCCTTCCTCTAGGACTATAGGACATACATAGGGCTCACCAGGACCTCCTGGATAAAAGCCTTTACCAGCACTTCACATAATCCCATTTCTTCATTTAACACATTCCATCTTAAAAATAGTTTGGTTTTTTACATCCACTGCTGTGATGGAAAAACAAAATTACAGAGTTTCATCCTTTTCATTATTTGGAACAGTCTTCATATTGTCAGTCTGAATTTATTCATAGAAGTGTTATAACCACTAATTCTTTCATCAATTATTACGTTAACTCTTTTCCTTCCCTAATGTTTACTTCTCTGATGTTTCCATAGGTAGCAGACATATCAGAACTTATTTTACTGGCCTGAATAAGCCAGTTCTTCTAATCTTCTCTCACAAAATAAAAATTCCCCTCCTTGAATGGTCCTAATAGACTTCTTTTGCACCTGAAATAATTTTCTTGATTCTGGGTGATCACAACTTTATGCATGTATCATGCTGGATTGTCCTTCTATGACTGTTAGATTAGGAATTTTGGTTTTTTCAATTATTTGCATTTAATGAGATCATGATTTGCTGCACAAATTATTAGCTCATGAGTATATGACCTTGAACTCTGCAATCATGAATTTAATCTCTCTGTTTCTTTGGAAGCCCATCTGTTCATCCAGCTTTTCATGTTTCCTTCTGTTTGTGCAGTGACAATAACGCCCAAAATATGTCAGCAGAAAATTTCAGTA